GAAAGAAAGAAAGAAAGAAAGAAAGAAAGAAAGAAAGAAAGAAAGAAAGAAAGATCAAGTTCTTTTTGCAGATGATGGGGCATTTTGATTATTTTGCCCTAAAGTTATGTCAGCAATTTGGAGAGTCAGTTTGCCTGAAGTTCTGGGCGTCCGCATAATTAATACCAGGCCTTGGTGTGATTATTAATAGAGTACCTTCACGGTTTGGCCTTACAGATTTTGATTGAGTACGTTCAACCTTGAAAAAAGAAACTTGCTAAATAAGCTGGTTTTGTGAGTCACTTTATCATCAAGGGGGACAACGAATTCATTCGGCTCATCGATGTTTTCACACTAGGTTTTGATGTTTCAGAAACACTGGCCAGCGGCCCTCCTTGCAAAACCAGTGTATATTAGTGAGGTACAACAGGCTTCTCAAGGCACTTTCTGCAAGATAGGTATTCTAACCACCCCTTATTACAAAATTCACCTACTTATTTCCCCACTGGGAACACTAAGGCAATGAAGAAGCAGACCCTTTGAGGGGAAGCATTAACATAATTGAGTCAGTGGTTCTGGCTCATTCAGGATGTGCCTGAGCCACTTCTGCGACTGTGCAGAATTTTACCTCCATCTGTTCACTTTCTCCAGCTGATACCATGGTTTGCTCAGAAGCTCATATTACCTTGTTAAAATTTTCCTAACCAGTTATCTCTCCATCCAGAAATTTGCACTGAACATCTTACAGGCATCATCATTGTGAACATTGTGAACAAAGACCAATAAAATGCCCTAAACACCAACATCTGTTCAGCCACGTGACTGTAAGGTAAAGAACCTGCTTCACCATGGTCTCCTGACTCGTTGCTTGAACATGCCTTTCTGAACACATTAAAATGCATGATCTTACAGTTCAGTCTGGAAGGGCATTTCTTCTAGCTTGGCAGCCTCTTTTGACCCCAAAACTGCAACCATATCTACAGTTTGGTCTCACATCTTCTCTCCCTCTCCTCCATTACACGGGCTTTTCCTTCCAAGTTGATTTTTAAAGAATTGTGGTTAAAAAATACAAAACATAAAATTTACTGCTTTAGCCCTTTTTAAGCCTGCAGTTCATGGCATTAAATATATTCACACTGTGGTTTAACCATCAGCATCCTCCATCTCTAGAACTTGTCCATCTTCCCTATCTGAAAATCTGTGCTCAAATAATTCTCAATTCTTTTCTCCTCCCAGCCCCTAGTAACCATTGTTCTGCTTTCTGGGTCTATGGATTTGACTACTCCAGGTACCTCATATGAGTGGAATCATGCATCATTTGTCCTTCTGTAACTGGCTTATTTTACTTAGCATAATGTTCTCAAGGTTCATCCATGTTTCAGCATGTGGCAGGATTTCCTTCCTTTTTTACTGAGTTCCCTTTTAAGGCTGAATAATATGCCACTGCATGTGTATACCACGTTGTATTTATCTATTGTCAGTGGACACTTGGGTTGCTGCCACCTTTTGTCTATTGTGAATAATACTGTTATAAACATGAATGTACAACTTATCTCTTTGAGACGTTGTTTTGAATTCTTTTCATTATGTGCCCAGAAGTGGAATTTCTGGATCATATGTCAATTCTCTCTCTCTTTCTATATACATATTTTTAGGAACTGCCATACTGTTTTCCACAGCAACTTCACCAAAAACATGGAACATGCCACAAAATTGTGTGTCATCCCTGCACAGGGGCCATACTCATCTTCTCTGTATTGTTCTGATTGCAGTATATGTGCTGCCAAAGCAAGCACCCAAGATGATTTTAAACTGACCTTGAAGGAGGCTTTAGACACTTAAAAAGAAAAATTGAAATATAGCTGATTTACAATGTTATGTTAGTTTCTGGTGTACAGCAAAGTGATTCAGTTATACATATATATATATATATATGTATTCTTTTTCATTATGGTTTATTACAGCATATTGAATATCATTCCCTGTGCTATACAGTAGGACCTTGCTGTTCATCTATTTTATCTGTTGTAGTTTGTATCTGCTGATCCCAAACTCCTAATTTATCCTTCCTTGGCTCCCTTTCCCTTTCGGTAACCACAAGTTTGTTATCTATGTTCGCGAGTCTGCTTCCATTTTGTAAATAAGTTCTTTTGTATCATATTTTAGATTCCAGTGTGATATCAGATCTGTCTTCCTTTTTTTGGCTGACTTCACTTAATATGATAATCTCTAGGTCCACCCATGTGGTTGCAAATGGCATTATTTCATTCTTTTATATGTATATACATATACATCTATACACACATATACACATATACATATATACACACACACATATTCATATATATATATATATGAATATATATATATATATACACACACACACACACACATACATATCACATCTTCTTTATCCAATCATCTGTGGGTGGACATTTAGGTTGCTTCCATGTCTTGGCTATTGATAATCTCCGTTAGTTTTTGGGCATTGAAACTGCTATGAGCAGTTGGAGGTGGCTTGTTTTCTCTCTCTGAATACCTGAAGAGTTATTTATTTGTCTTTGAATTCCAATCATTTAACTAGATTGTGTCTCAGTTTGGATGTTGTGTAACAGGGTTTCCCCCGGGTATATGGTATGCATTGTCAACCTCAAAATTTAGTTCTTTTATTTCAGGGAATTTTTTCCGTATTACATCACTGAGTTATTTCTATCTTACATGTGTTGGTTTCTTTATGTCAGGGGCAAAAATCACTCTTCTTTTGGCCCATTTTTGCTCTAACCTTTTTGTGTTTCTTCTCTTATTGTCCTGGAATAACTTTTTTCTCCATGCTATTAAATCTTAAGCTCCATTTCTTCTTCTTTCTAATTTATTTGTTAGATATCTTTTTAAAATATTTTATTTATTTATTATTGTATTACTGAATTATTTCTTATTTTGGGGGGGGGCGGTAATTAGGTTTATTTACTTTTGGAGGAGGTGCTGGGAATTGAACCCAGGACCTCGTGCATGCTTAGCACGTGCTCTACCACTTGAGCTACACCCTACCCCCTATTTGATAGCTGTCTTACGTTGTTTTGGTTCTTGTTTTCTTTTCCCCTTAGCTCCTCATTTTCCTTTTTTTCATCCAAATCTGCTATTTCATCTTTTGTCTTTGAGCTCTTATTTGATTGATTCATACTCTAATTAAGATCTATCGCACTCACCACTTACGGGAAATATGCTCTTATTTATTTATTTTTTGAGTTACACTTTTTTTCACGTTTCAGTCTTTGTCTGACTTTTGCTTACTTTGTCAGGATATTTCATATTTTGCTATCATCGTTGTCTTTTCCTCTACCTCTTTCTTTTCTGCTTCCTCCCTCCCCTCCTCCTCTCCCTCCTGCTCCTTCTTTTTTGTAGAATGTTTGGCTGCCGACTGAGCCATGTACTGATGGCCTCTTGTTTACTATGGGCCACTACAGATCTTCTATTTTCTCTAACTCAGTGAGGATTAGTTCTGCTTGATGCCCTTCTGAGACAGAGGATGGTGCACCAATGCCCAGGCTCCTAGGAGTATCACCATTTCACAGCTTACTTTGACAGCTCAGTCGCACATCTAGCACAGTTTCACAGTTAGTCCAGGAAACAGCGGCACTATTACACAGATGACAGCTCAGGACGTGACGGTGAGACAACACGAAGGAGAAATTCTTAGTGCGTTTCCCATGCTCTGCCTAAGTCCTAGGGGCCACGCTGGCCAATGACAGCAAACTCAAGGTACCTAAGGAGCCCTTGCTAGGACCCAGCAGCCTTAGAAGCTTCAAGGGGCCTCTCTGATTAGCTTCCCTCCAGACACCTCATCCTGGCATCGACTCCCTGTCATCACTGATCAAGCTAACAGGACATACTGGCCATATTATCCCATATAGAGTGTATGATATGCATTGATGCCATTGAATGATTGCTCTTGTTGGGCTCATGGTGGACATCCCTTCTGTATGAACCCTCACTATACTCACCTTAACTGGGACAAATTTGTCTCCAGGTTTCAGTTTGGATACTGGTTTGGGTCTCTCTTCCAGTGTAACAAACAACCCCAAGTGCAACAATCATTTTCTTTTATCTCGTGACTTTATGGGCCAGAAAGTTAAGCAGGGCTCAGCTGGGTGATTTTTCTGCACCATGTGGCATTGACTGGAGTCATTCAATTGTATTCAGATTTTGGCTGCTCGAGTCTAGAGGGTTCAAGGTGGCCTTCTTTACATGCCTGGTGTCTTGATGGAAGGCTGGAATCTGGGCTCTGCTGGACCCCTCTCCCTCTCCTTGTAGTCTCAGGGTCTCTGATTTGGTCTCTCTAAGCTGGGTAGTTGGACTTACATAATGGCTCAGGGCTCCAAGAGGGATTGTTCCAGGAGGCAGGAAGTAGAAGCTGCCAGCCTTAAGACCTGGCACAGTGTCACTTTCAGTTGTTCCATAGGTCAAATCTATCACAGAGTTCACTCAGATTCCAGGGGAGAGACATAAAGGAAGTGTCAGAGAATTTGCAGCTTTGTTCACTCCTCTAAGCTCTTGGTCCAATTTTTCATAATGTGAAGGTTCTACAGGAGGGAGACCTGCTGCTGTGCACATTCGTACAGGAAGACTGGCCCGCTCCCTTCCAAGGTCTCGCTGCACACCCTGTGCTAGGGTCCGCTCCACATGGTCTGGCAGGTGTCCGTCTCTCACAGGTCTCAGCCATTTTCCTCCAACACAGCGAAGGGCCCCCTCATGTGACAAGCCCAGCAACATTTTCTTCCTGAGTCCCGCTGTGGTGGAGTTTAGGGAGCCTCACACTTGAGGATTAAAAATACTGTTTTCCCAGTTTCCCACTCACAGTCTCAGTGTCAGTCCCAATGATAGCACGCTAGAGAGACTGGACACCAAGGCATGATTTTATCGACTCAGTTTTCTTCTTCAGTCCTGCCTCTGGGTGGTGGGGACAGAGTTAAAGACTGTGCTCAATTATTTTGCACCAGAATCTGGTTTCTTTTCTTGATTATCATTTTTTTTAAATTTGTGACATCAAATATTTGTTACTTGTTTGATTTTTGCTAGCAATTTTTTTTTCATGTGTGGGAAAGGGTATTTTTTTCTATTTTGTTAGGTATTAAAGGGACTTCCTTCTCTATTCCACTCTCTTTTCTGGACATTGCATCTTGGGTCATTATTTCATTATATTTATTTTGAAATAGTTATAGTTCACAGGAAATTGCAAAAACAGTATATAGAGATCCCCTGTACCCTTCATCCTGTTTCTCTCAAAGGTAACATTTTATATAACTATATACAGTTCAATATCAAAACCAGGAAACTGACATTGCTACAGTCCACAGACCTTATTCAGACTTTACCAGTTTTATTTGCCCTCACTTATGTGTGTGTATTTAGTTCTATGCAATTTTATCACATGTATTATTCATATAACCACAACCGATTACTCATGATACAGAACTGTTCCACCACCACAAAGATCCTGCGTGCTCTCCCTTTCTAGTCACATCCACTGTCCTATCTGTACCCCTCCTTCTCCCTAACCCCTCGCAACCACTAATCTGTCCTCCACTCTGTGTGATTTGAGAATTCTGTATAAATGGAATCACACAGTACGTAACTGGCTTTTCTTCCCACTCAGCATACTGCCCTCAAGATCAGATCCATCTGGGTTGTTATGTGTTGACTGTCCCTTTCTTTTGGATTGCTCAGTAGTATCCTATGGTGTAGACACACTGTGGTTTGTTTAACCATTAACTGATTGTAGGACATTTTGGTTGTGTCCAGTTTTGGGCTCTTATGAAGAAATCTGCTACGAACAATCAAGTACAGGCTTTTATGTGGACATAAGATTCACTTCTCTGAGATAAATTTCCAAGAGGGTGATTGCTGGGTCAAATGGTAAGTGTATGTTTAGTGCTTTAAGAAGCTGCCAAACTATTTTGCAGAGTGGCGGTGCCATTGTCCATTGCCACCAGCAGTGTATGAGAAATCCTCACCAGCATTTCGTGTTTGGTATTGTCACTATTTTTAAATTTAGCTTTCTTAATAGGCTGTGTGTTGGATTTAAAATGTCACTTCAAGAGTGATGATTTCACACAGCCATTGCTCCAGGTTTTCCTGAAACAGAGATGCTGGATGTTAGGCTCACTTGCAGTCCACAACAATGAACTCATATTTAAAATGAACTTTAAGCCATCCTGCACTTCCCCCCCAGTTGCTACTGCATTGTGGTAGCATCTTCTTCATCCTCAAATTTTCATGGGGGTAATTCAGTGACTAGTCCACAAGGTTGCTACAACCCTTGATGCTTTGGAGTTCTGAATTTTTTTCATTATCTACCTGGAATATTTCACTAATTTCAAACTAATACTCCAGCTTCTTGTTTTCCACCACTGACTGATCCACGATCTCATTTACAGATGTCATTTTAAATGGTTGCACTATGAAATGATATAAGAAGGAAACGAAAGCCACAAGATCCAGAATTTAGGAGTTCTCTGGGAATTCATTGCAGCAAGATGTTGAGATAAGCATATTCCCCCATTTTGAAAACAAATATTTAACAGAGTATATTTTTGTTAGGAAGTTGAATGATCTGTATAATGAGCTTTTATTTGTTAAAGGTTAAAAAGAAAAGATGATACATTTACTTTAAAAACTCTCGGTATGCATTTTTCTGTGACCTCTGTGAAGATTCCACCTTACAGTTTTTCTTTCTCTGGTGTCTTTGCACTTTCCCTGATCTCTTGGAGATCCCTAACCTTAATATTATCTTTAACTA